ACGAATGTCAAATAATTTGTTTTCATTTTGAGGGTCATCACCTTATCATGATCTGCAAAATTTGTAAATAATATTGCATGCATCGAAATCAAGTTAAAAGTTGTTGCCAATTTCACAATGCATTGAAATCAAGTTAAAAGTTATTCCCAATTTCACAATGTGCTAAAAAATATTTATCTAATTACATATACAACACTTAAAATTAGTAAAAAAGAAAACAAAAAGAAAAATCATATTTATCATTTAAAAGTAGATTTATCTTGGGTATTTCAATTTCATTCTTTGTTGTCAAAGCATCAGTTAGGATGCATTTGATACACATATAGTGCAGGATATAGTACAGGACAAATAGTTGAGTCACAATACAACTTTTTGTCTTTTATGTTGTTTGGTATCCGATAGACACATTTTAATGTTGTACTCTGTTTGATAAGCTTAAGTACATGACAAAACAAGTGAAATTTCTTAAACTACCAGTTTTACTATATTGCTTTATATGTTTTAAACACTCTCCCAACAAGTCTTCAATACTTTTCTTTGCATTTTAAAGAAAATCTTTGTTTTTCTTTCATTTTATTTTCACTAATATACACTAATCGAATTTCTTCAAATTCATTTTTTTACAGGAATTTAAATCCATAATCATTTTATGACAAAAATATGAGAATTACATGGATTTTCTGGATTTTTTTGGATAAGATTTTTTTAATTTGTTGTGGAACATTCAAATTTCTTTATAACGTTGAAAGAAGCATTGATGAAGGGGAAAGATTTATACAAATAAATGTGAAATATAAAGTAATGTAATATTGTAATAACAAATGAAATCCACGTGTATGTGTACCAAATTGTTCAATAAGCTAAATACTCCAAATTATGATTTTATACATTTAATTCCAAATCTGGATGGTCCCAGTTGGTCATATATTATACTGCAATCACAAATAGATGACATTAGTTTCTAATAGTATATTATATATTAATTATTTAAGTGCTTGCTTGTAAGTTTCTAACATGGTGCGTGGAAAAACAATACTCCAAATTATTTAAGTGTTTACCTGTAATTACATGTTTGTGACTTCATGTGAAAGTGTCTTTGAATCGCAAAAAGCACAACAAAAGCTTGAAATAAAGCGGAGAGTAAGGAAATACTATGTAGGGAGAAAAACTAATGAAAAAAAATCGAAAAGAAGCAACCTAGGAGAAGTGGAAGTTGTGCGTGAGAGACAGAGGCACAAGGACAATTTTGACAATTTGAATGGATTATGTACCAAACAAAAAGTTGTATGGTGAATGAGTGAGTTACAATTTTTTATAATTTTATTCTGTCTCTCAATTTTTATTTTGTTCTATCGTGTATCAGATTCTAAAATCAAACATGTATCAAATAATTTTGTACCGCTTTATCTCTTTACTTTTAGCAAATGAAAAGTAAATCAAATGTATCCTTAGTAACTTAGAATCACGAGTTGAACCTTCCCATTCACTAAAAATATATATGAATTCCAAATCACAATTACAAGTTGTTAATATATGTTGTCATATATTTATATGATAATTACCATTGTTATTTACATCTTGTTCCTCATTGTCATCAAAATATGTGTATCACCAATATATTCAATATGCAATCCTAAAATTATTCATATATAAGCAGTGACGGATTTTGGTAGTGACAGGGAGCCACCGCTCCCCCAAACATTTCTAATTATATATATATATATATATTCATATATATATATTCAAATGCAAAAAAGTGCCTATTTTGAAAAGGGGAGGGTAGTGGATAGTTTTTCTTACTACCAGATAAGAATATAAACATGGGAATTGAAGTTGTAAAGAAAATCCACGATCAATATGTGTGGATATTTTGTGATACGGGTTGGTTCATATCTGTTGAGATTACTTTCATTCTTATTTCTTTTGGTCATTGTATTAGGAAGCAATTACAATTATCTTGGAAAGTAATGATATAGTACACACTTCATAAAGATAATTCATGTGTTGACTGATTTACTATTCATGATACTTATTTTCAACATTGAAACCGGTGTCTACCTTAGCTAACTTCTATATATTGTTGTATGATACTATAGGAAAATTGTACTTGAAACTATAATTTTTTTCTTGCTTGTTATTAGTAATTCTCACTAAAAAAAAAAAAAACCATGATTAAAATCGACGAATTTATCCTATTTCTTTTAAGCTATTTGTATATTTCCCTTCTAAAGCTTTGGTTTAAAGTATATTGTCAACTTTTAGCCATTTATTGCTTTTAGTATTACATTCAGCCTTAAGAAGCTCTTTGCAGTGGGATAGAGACCCAATCAAAAGACAAAAATTTCTTTTTGAAGTGAGAATTTTTAGTGTTAACCAAGATAAGGACCAACAAATTTTCACACCAACAATCTCTTGCATTAACAAAAATAGACTCGTTACTTCTAAGTTTGTCTTAATGGCTATAGTTTTGTTTAGCCTTTCTCTGTTACCATCCTTATTGATAAAGGTGAAAATAGGCTAGTTTGGTTAGCCTTTACCCTAAACCCTAAAGACCTTGACCTTAATGAAAAATACAAGACCTAAATTTGATTTATTTATTTATCTTAAGTCTTCTTTTAAATATTTGGTCTAATATAATAAAAGTCTAACAAATTCTACAAGTATGTTTAAGGTTTTTTTTTAACAATAATTTAACACTAATATGAAGGTAAAAGTAAACATTTTTAATATGACATTCATTGACTATGATAACTTTTCCTTTAAAAAATAGTCCAATTCTGAAAGCACAAAGGCGCTCAGCGCCTTCAAAGCGCTCAGCGCTTTACCTCCAGAGGTTCTCCTCTAGCTCTCTGCCCCCAAAGCGCTCAGCGCCTTAAAACGGCTCAGCCGTTTGGTTACTGGGGGCTCTCTGCCCCCAAAGCGCTCAGCGCCTTAAAATGGCTTAGCCGTTTGGTTCCAGGGGACTCTTTGTAACAGCAAACACAAACCCTCCACCATTTTTGAACAACAATCCTGCAAAAACAAGAAATCCAAGCACATGCAATCCACCCAAAACACCCCATTTTCATCCAACAACCCAAAAATCAACTCTTTTTCAACATGCAACTATGAAAACATCAAAACTCCAAATTTTCACTATTACTCCGAAACCCCGAAAGTCTTAACTTCATCATTCTCAATCAAAATCACAAACATCAAACAGCTAAGGAGTTCTTAGAACTCTCTTTAAACCAAAAACTCAAAAAAAAATCTAGCTTCCCTTACCTCTAATTGAAGATCGCAGCTTCCGGGAAAAGGAGAAGAGAAGAAGGAAGAAAATGCTTGAAAGGGGGAAAAAGATGAAAGGAGCTCCGCACGGGTTAACAAGAATGCCAGCCTTCAATCAGCGTCTTCAACCACCAAAACCACAGTTCAAGAATGAGAAGGGAAGAGTTTTAAGAGTAATATTTTTTCAAGTTCCGCTACTGTATATAAGAATAATGAGAAATATAATTTTAATTTTGCTATAAATATATAATTATCATGTACCTTGAAGTAAGGTAAAATCTAATTTTTTTCTCTTATTTTAGCATACACACTCAATTCTTGTTTAACTATCAAATCACATGTTATCGAAATTAAGATTCTTGTGAAATTTTATGAAATTGTTGAAAATGATATTTTCACTATATATATATAATTTAATTATTTTTAAATTGACATTGCATATTATTTAAAGAGTAAAACATTAACTCTATTATTCAGACATTCATAATGTTTTGTATTATGTCTCTTTTGAATGTACATTTTACATATTAATGTTTTAAATAACAAAAAAAAAGCCCTCTTAAGTTGTGTTTAGAAAATGAAGTTTAAAATTTAAAATGTTTGAAATTTGAATTATGTTAATTTAAATTTCTTTAATTTTATAATTTTTTAATTGGTTAAATAGATTCAAAAAATTTTAATTCATCTTATAAAACAATTTATCAAAAAATTTTATAGCAATTTAAAAAAAAAAATTGAATACACTCTTTAAATTTTTATTGTAAGAGTTTATTTGAACTATATATTTTATGTTAAATATTTTTTTTTGAGTATGTATAATTTGATTTGCTTTATTTTCTATTGTTTGTTCATTTTCTTTTATATAGTGTTGTTAGTTTTGTATTGATATGGTAGATGTTTTTAATTTTGTGAGAGTATAAAAAATGTCTCAACAATAGATATTATAAGTGTGTGTATGGAAGAAACACGAAGTTTTAAGAGATCTAATGTAGAATAATTATAATAAAATAGATTCGATTTTAGACACATAAAATTGAATTAATACCTTAGTCACGTTAATATGACACAAAAGAGATAACATTAAAAAAAATGATAGAGACTAAAATGATTAAAAAATTACAAATATAAAATTTAAAAATATATTTAAAGTTATATGAATTAAAAAAATTTAAAAAAGAAAAATATCTATACTTAAAAAATTTATTTTAAACTATAAAAAATAAAAGATAAAGTAAATAAAATCATAAGGATTAAAATAATATTTTGATTTATATTTGAATATTTTAATATATAAGTAATAGTATCGTAAATTTAGTTTGTTTTAGTTCTTCATTTTTTATCTTGTTCCTTATCGTTTTAAAATTTAGAATAATTTTTTTTATATGAAAAATGAATAAAATTTAATTTTTATTCACATAAAATATTTTATTTCTTATTATTTTTTTAAATTTTAAAACCATCATTATCGAAGTGTACATGGTTTCAAAATTATGAGTGTTATGTGAAATAATCATTTAATCTTTAGATAAATACATAATTAAGAAGAGTTATATAATAGTAAAAATTAAAAATGATAATTATATATTTTAAAAAATGAAAGACTAATTTCTTTACCGAAACAAAATTAAAACTTCCGCTCTATACATAAATTAAAAAAATATTCAAATTTATAGACTATTTATTTGAAGATTGTTTAAACCCTGAAAATGAAAACCTCATTGGGGAAACTTGCTACACAAATAATTCAAAATGTTATTGGGAAAAGAGCAGATGGATTAGTTTACTAGTAGAAGAGCCGCCACGTTCGTGCACAGAAACGGCGTCGTTGGAATACCTACATAACCAGGAGCGACGAGCCCTAGGAAAGGGGAAGACAATAACAATGGCGTTGTTCTCTGCAGCAACTTCAACTGCAACCGTTCTTCCTCGAAACCTCGCATTCGCTTCTTCCCTCTCTCGCTCTCTTCTCCGCTCTCCGCGCTTCCTCTCATTCCCCACTGCTCCGCGCAACCGCGCCTCTGTCTCAATCCAAGCCCCACGCGCCCAAGCCGCCGCCTCTTCCTCCGCCTCCTTCCACGGCCTCTGCTACGTCGTCGGCGACAACATCGACACCGACCAGATCATCCCCGCCGAGTACCTCACCCTCGTCCCCTCCAAGCCCGACGAGTACGAGAAGCTCGGATCCTACGCCCTCATCGGCCTCCCCGCCTCCTACGCCACGCGCTTCATCGACGCCGGCGAGACCAAGACCAAGTACTCCATCGTCATCGCCGGCGACAACTTCGGCTGCGGCTCCTCCCGCGAGCACGCGCCCGTCGCGCTTGGCGCCGCCGGGGTCTCCGCCGTCGTGGCGGAGTCCTACGCGCGCATCTTCTTCCGGAACTCCGTCGCCACCGGCGAGGTGTACCCGCTCGAGTCGGAGAGACGCATCTGCGAGGAGTGCCACACCGGCGACGTCGTCACGATCGAGCTCGGGGAGAGCCGCTTGATAAACCACACCACCGGGAAGGAGTACCAATTGAAGCCGATCGGCGACGCCGGTCCGGTCATCGAGGCCGGTGGCATCTTTGCCTATGCGAGGAAAACCGGCATGATTCCCTCTCGTTGAGGTATTCCAATTTTTCTCTCTTTCTTTTTTTATTTAATCACATTATGTTTGTGCTATGTCTGAATCAGAGTGACCATTTTGTAGACTAATACTTGTACCATTTTAGGAAATTGTGTGAAAATATAAAGGAAGAGAAACTAGGGTTTAGTGTTTCGGCTTGTACTAGCAATATTGTTCTGGGACCTTAGTATCCTTTTTATTACTGATTTAGACTGTTAGCTATGATGCTATTGATTGCTGTAGGTTAGCTTGAAGAAACTCGGCAGTGTTAGTTATAATAACCATTGACGAGCTTTCACCTATCCAACAAAACCAATCCTCCAGACCCTGTGTGTGAAAACCAAGGATTAGGATCACCAGCATTACGACATAAGCATATGAAGAGAGTCCAACTCAAAAGATTAGGCTATTAGGTCTCATGGTTTAAGGTACCATGTTGAGTTTCTTATTCTACTCAATGTAGGATTCCTAACATCGCCACATCCTTTAAGAGATTACGTCAATGGTGGCTTTTACTCTATTAATACTGACCCGGTGGTATCCCTCTCCTCTTTGACGCTTTCACTCACCTATTAGTGTTCGATTTGCACCTTAATCTAGCCTAAAAGATTAGTCCATTAAGTGGTAGAGTCTCATGGATTAAGTACCATATCGAGTTCTTATTCTACTCAATGTGAGGCTTTTAACAACTTGCTGTTCAAAAACAAACTGCATTGTTATGCACTTGCGGTTGCATTCAACAGGGATGCACATAATGCTAAATACATTTTTTTTTTACATTTTAATTATATGGAAATCACATTTTTGATCGTCCATATTTTGTGCAGTTGTTATACAACTGTAGGTGATCATGATCCAATATGGATGTCTGAACTTAAAATTCCTGTTTAGAGTGAACTGAAACACACGTAGAAAAGGGGGTTGGTATGGAATTCTTATGGTGCAAGTGTTTCTTAGGAACTGCGAGATTTATGTTAGATTCCTCCTTGTCCATCACTTGTAATCCCAACTTAGATGGGAGCTTAGATTTGAAAAGATTTGGCAAGTTTTGCGAATTAGTTATTCTCATTTTGTATTTGATCATGGATCTCGACTCCTGCATTTAGCTACCCTGAAACAGGAAATTGTGACATGGAGACTAATTTCATGGAAACCATTCTCTGATTTATTTGAATATAGTTGATGTTTTCATCAAGTTTTATGGTTCAAAGTTCAATGATTGAACTATGACCAATTTGATATTAATAAAATAATAATAATAATAAATAATACAATAATACGGAAAATAGTATTAAAGAAACATGATATCTTAACTTTGCAATACTAAAAACTATAAAAAAAACACCATTTTGTAGTTTTTAACATTCGAAGTACACACAATGTTTTAGGTCCAAATCAAATATATCATAAATATTTAGGTCCATGTTTTTTAAGGATACACAACAATGTTAATTAGCAATAACAAGTTACATCTAGAATAAAAAAGAAAATGACAAATACCTTATGTTAATTTTTTATTTTTAAAGGAAAAAATAAATGTATTTTGTATTAAACATTTTTCACTATCTGTTGCAAGCTGAGCTATTGCCAGTCTTCTGATAAATTCTGTGGTTTCTTTGGACTACTGCACACTAAGCTGGTTCACCAGTTTCCTGGGTGAACTAACATGTCCAGTCTGATCTGGTTTTCAAAACAATTTTCTTGATATTTTAAAAATGAAGACAATACAATGAATGGAGTAGATACTATCGTCATTCTCTTGAGATTTTGGTGTTTGGTTTATTGTCGACATTCATCAAGGTTGTCTTCTGTTCTCAATAATCATCTTCAGAAGTTAAGTTAGTTTCCTTTGATTAGTTTCTGTTTCCAAAAGCTTGTGGACTTGGCTCATTTATTTATATTTGCTCTTGAAGTAGATGACACCTTGTTGTAGTTCTCTGTTTTCATCTTATGCGTCCACATTCCAATGCCTGAAATTTTTTACCTTCCAGATAGATATTGGCATGGCAGTAGATATTTGGAGAAGCCGGAAACATTCATGGACTTGTTGGAATTGTGTCACTCTCTTTTGCAGCAACTCGCAACTACCCAAATATTTGAGTATTCCACAGATAGACTACTGCATTGTCTTTCTAAGATGAAAGTTATTTGGTTGAAAGATAGTACTGTAAAATTTGACGTTAGAATTATTTATATTTTGGAAATTTGAAGTTTTTCTTGGTGTCAAAGCTCCCATTAGAACATTTGAACCTTTGGATGCTTGTAGCATTAGCAGGATCTCTAGTGTATTCTCGTTTGTACTCCTTTGCAAGTTTTTTCAATAATATAAAAACAGTTGGAATAATATTTTAATTTGCAAAAGGCACACGAAACTCTATATAATCATGTTTATTTAGATTAGCTACAAAATAACAGCCAAAAAGAAGCTAAAGAAGTGTTATTGACCGAACTTTTACTCTTGTATTTTGACATGATGATTTGAAATTGATCACCTAATGCAAGTAGCTTGAAAACCGTTTATTCTTTTTTGAATTCTTAACGAAGTATATTCGTGGTATAATAAAAACTTGCTCAACATAGATAAAAGTATTGAAATGCATATACTGTTAACTCACCAGTGGAGTAGAGTGGCTGGCAGTGTGTTAGGATGCACGATGGATAACTAGTTTCTGTGTATTTTGTATGGACTTGATGTAACAATTTTGAATTACGTGTTTGTTTGTTGGAAGTTTTGAACAAGACATGCACCGAGTTTCTTAGTTTTCCTTGCTGTCTTTTGTGTGTGCATGTGATGACTCGAGTGTTTCAAGGGGAAAATAGGATGAATGAAAAATAATAGTTTCATGCTTGGCAGCTTATGTATATGTTTCACAGGCCATTTTAGTAACTTACAATAAGTTGGTTTCACCTTTTTTTTTGGAGAATAAGTTGGTTTCACTAAAGTAAATTTATCTAATACACTAGTGAATTTTAACTTTTTCATATATTATTTTAACTAGTGACTAGTGATTTAAATTGTAAATTACTTTTTTTTTCTTTCATTTTTTTTATCTTCATTACTTGATATTTCTTAATTTTTTTAGAAACCTTTTTTCTTTATCTTGTCACTCTCATTCATTGGACGCACACTTTTTTCTTATTTATTGTACAATTTGGAATACTACTTTTATTATTATTATTATTATCATTGTTTGATGTCAAACCACTTATTTTAATATGTAATTGAATTGTTTTTATTTTTAATTAAAATATCTAGCCATTAAACAAACGTTAATAAATATTCAGGATTAAAATGAAAAAATTAACTATTCCTTCTGTATTAAGATAAGATTATTAAAAATACTCAAATATTAAAAAGTGATTTTAAATGATATAAGTTTATTTAATTAAATTATAATTTTTCATGAAAATGAATGAAACACATCTAAAAAACAAAATACAAAACAACTATGGTTGTTAATTGTTATTTACTTTCAATGATAATACACGGTATTGTGTATCTACAACGAAAGACAGATAGAATCACTTGAATCCGTCTGGTGTAGAAATAGTATGTAAGAAATTATAGGTTTAATTTCAATGTGATCATTGTAAAAAAAAAAAAAAAAAGAAAGAAAAGAAAGAAACATATCTAAAAAAAGCAAAACAACTATGGTTGTTCATTGCTTTCAATGATAATATATTGGTATAGTTATAGAGTTATAGTGTGTGGTTCTGGGCTGTGTATATACGTTTATTTAATTAAATTATAATTTTTATGAAAAAAACACATAAGAAAACAAATAAAATACAACTACGATTGTCCATTGCTTTCATTGATAATTTATCTATATAGTGTGTGTGGCTGTGTAAAGTTATGATCAAATAATTACTATTTTTTATAAGTTACTTTATAAGTTTTTAGTAAACTTATGAGTTAAGTTTGTAAAAACACTCAAAATATTTTCATTTTAAATAAGTCAAATTCAAAAGTGAAAGATCGTTAACCTTTGTTAGTTGTTACTTGTTACTATAGAAAAATGTCTTAGAATTAGCCTTTGTTGTGTCTTCACTTTCCAAAATCTTCACATTCCCTTAGAATTAGCCCCCTAATTGTTATTATTGTATTGTAATTTTAGTTAACTTATGAGTTAATTTTATTTTAAATAAGTCAAATAGTTAACATAAAATGTCTCAGAATTAGCCTCTGTTGTCTCTCCACTCTTCTCAATCTTCACACTTTTAGAATTAGCTCCTAATTTTTATTATTGTACTGTAAAATTACAATGATAGAATTAGCCTGGTCCAATTTTTATTTCTAACAGAAAAGGCAAAAATATCAATTTTATTAATAAGATCAAAGAAATGTACAACTGATACCACTTTGGCGAAAAAAAAAGAAAGAAGCCTGATACAAAGGAAGTAGCTCAAAAACAAAAACCTGTCGGTATAAGTTGCTACATAAAACTCCCATCTAAAGCAGTTAAGACTTGAGACAGAACATTACAGCACCTACAGGGACGCATAGGAGGCAATTGAAATTGTTATGTGTGCTTTTCCCAAGTGGTTGCTATAGACAGCAAATGATACAAAGAAGAATAAGAGGCCGGATCACACTATTAAATGGCAAGATCTTCCAGAGATAATAATACATGGAAATAGAAACATGGTTCTTTTTGCATCAGTTAGCTTCTTCTGTAATCTCATTCATATGATGTATCTCATCAAACAAACTTTTGTTTTCACCAATGAAATTCATTTACCTCATTTATCATTCAAAAGAGTTGGGATTTTTTTTACGGCAAGTAACATTCCACGTAATAAATAGTGAGTAAGTCATACAAGTAAATTTGATACCACAATATAACCTAAAATCTTAAAATATTAGGTAAATGAGTCTTTTTCACTTATATATTATTCCACATATTTAATTTTAACCAATGTGTGACATCACTTCACATTTGAACTTTGATATAAAATTTTACTTTATTATTTTCCCAAAAACACATAAAAAATTAGGGTTACCCCCAACTAAATATGGGGTTAAACAATCCCATAAAAATTGATTGGTGCAAACTCTGGTATATTTGTATCTATAATTCATGATGAGGTGTTTAATCCCATTTTTATTTGGGATATAAGTTAGACAACGTCGTTAATAAATTCTAAGTCGCAGAAATCAATGAAAATGACCTTATTTGAAAGAAGAATCGCACAGATATTCAATTTCAGAATTGATAGGAATGTTAGATTAGATTTTAAAGTGGATAATTTTTTATTTTTTATTTTATAATCAGCACCATTACCGAACTGCACCCAACTAGGAGGACATCTTGGGAGTTGGGACCTCCAACTGATAAACCATGTAGCTTTAGCTAAATAATAACAATAGAGAAAATGAGAATAATGAAATAATAGTAACACAATATATATAATCTAGAGTCAAAACTTGGAGACACTTAATCAACATAAAGCTTGCCTGAAAAGAATGGGAGACACTTCACTAACATAAAGCTTGCCTGAAAGGAAGACAAGAGTCCTACATAAAAGCAAATATAGTTATGGTATTGGGCTCATCTTTTAAATCCGCAATGTGCATCCTTTTTAAAGGTATACTTTACATTCAGAAAGGAATCCAATGTGATTTGTGTTTCAAATATGCTAGCTATGACATTGAAGGAAGGACCAGGTTTGAGACATTTCTCATAAAAAAATAATACAGATTAAGGAATATTAATTTCTCTGTAATGAGTTGAGTATCACCCAAATGTTTAACTTAATTACATTACAAAGTTCTTTTGTCGCCATTCTTTATTAATAAAATACTATGTCTTTAATACGGTTCTATTTTTATTTTTTTTGAAAAAATCTCTTTTATCACATGCTGATGTTTAGAAACTATCTTAAAATGATTGTTAATATGACATGATTAATTGTATGGTATGTTACTGCTAAGTAATGATAGAGACCATTTTTAAAAATTTAAATAAAATTTATGAAATCAAAATTATTGAAGAAAAAAAAAACATTTGTAGGACCTAAATCAAATAAAGGTATATTTATAAGTACTAAAAAAGACAAGTCTTTCTTTTATGTTTTATGCCTTATAGTTGAACCGAACTGTTTGCAATGATGATTCAAAGTTAATTCAAATATTCTCTTTGTCAACTTAAAGTTTTAAAGGCTGTCCCTTGTTAAGAAAATTGTTTGGTGGACTTGTATGTGTATACTATTATTTTTCTTAAGGAGTGTTAATAATACATTCTTTAATACATATTTTTGTTATTAACCATAATTTATTGAATATTATAAAACTATCATAGAGACTTAGAAAATAAGTTAGTTAAAAAAATAATTTTTAATAAATTTCAAAAAATAACAAGTGTGTTCAAAAATTTGTATGAGAGTTTGTTAAATATTTCTGAATTTGTTTTTTTGGGTTACCAAATAGTAACAAATAGCGTAACACATGACCCCGCATGCATGCTTAACTTTGATAGCTGTTTGATCATACAGAATAATCTGGTCCACTTGGTGAAAGTTAAATGAATGATAGATCATTGCATCACATCGCTCCTTCTCTCACATCCATTTGGGAAGTACTACTACTAGTTCATCTCATGGGAAAAGAAAAGAAAAAGACAAGAAAAGAGATTCATATTCATTTAAGAAAACCACGCACCATACAATAAATGAACTCTCTAACGCCAAAACTAAAGAAAATAGTTTAAAGCACCAAAACAACATTGCTGTAGCTCTTCTGAGAAAGATCCTAGGGGATGTAGCTAGCTTCTCTGTAACATGGTCTTTTAAACCACCTTTTCAGAATTCACACTGTCTTTAACATCCCAAAGAAATTAATAAAGAAATCTCGCAGCATCTCCAGTAATTAATGTAGCTTTCTTGCTTCGACCATAAACTCATTTCTAGTACGTGTCCCTTGGAGCACTGCATTTAAAACACTCCATTCTGCTAGCAAAGTTGTGTTCATTGCATCCTGATCTGCTCAATAATAAAAACAAATTTAGTCATAACAAGAAACACAAGGAAAGAAATAAAATTGCTAAACATGTCAGTGTTGCATTCCAGATCAGCTAACTGAGGTTACGAGATGCAAACTTAAAACCAAACATAGCCTAATCAGTGAATCACATTTTCTTGCACTTAAGGTTGGTCACTAAGCAGAAGGGACAACTATTTTTCAAAGTATGCAACTCCTAAAAGCAGTCAAAGAAAGGGGAACCCAATAAAGATACGAGTTGCATGCCTATAACACTAACAGTGCCTTTTGTGTGTTGTGTTTGTCATATTCTTCACACTTTAAAGACAGGAGGCAAAGGAAAAAGCATAAGATGTTCCCTAAGGAAGAACCAATAATCAAA